TGTTGAGTCAGAGAACAAATCACAAACACACGCTTATTGCTGAGTCAGAGAACAAATCACAAACACACGCTTATTGCTGAGTCAGAGAACAAATCACAAACACACGCTTATTGTTGAGTCAGAGAACAAATCACAAACACACGCTTATTGCTGAGTCAGAGAACAAATCACAAACACACGCTTATTGCTGAGTCAGAGAACAAATCACAAACACACGCTTATTGTTGAGTCAGAGAACAAATCACAAACACACGCTTATTGCTGAGTCAGAGAACAAATCACAAACACACGCTTATTGCTGAGTCAGAGAACAAATCACAAACACACGCTTATTGTTGAGTCAGAGAACAAATCACAAACACACACTTATTGCTGAGTCAGAGAACAAATCACAAACACACACTTATTGCTGAGTCAGAGAACAAATCACAAACACACGCTTATTGTTGAGTCAGAGAACAAATCACAAACACACGCTTATTGTTGAGTCAGAGAACAAATCACAAACACACGCTTATTGCTGAGTCAGAGAACAAATCACAAACACACGCTTATTGTTGAGTCAGAGAACAAATCACAAACACACACTCATTGCTGAGTCAGAGAACAAATCACAAACACACACTTATTGCTGAGTCAGAGAACAAATCACAAACACACTCATTGCTGAGTCAGGCAACAAATCACAAACACACTCATTGCTGAGTCAGAGAACAAATCACAAACACACACTTATTGTTGAGTCAGAGAACAAATCACAAACACACTCATTGCTGAGTCAGAGAACAAATCACAAACACACGCTTATTGCTGAGTCAGAGAACAAATCACAAACACACTCATTGCTGAGTCAGGCAACAAATCACAAACACACGCTTATTGTTGAGTCAGAGAACAAATCACAAACACACGCTTATTGTTGAGTCAGAGAACAAATCACAAACACACGCTTATTGTTGAGTCAGAGAACAAATCACAAACACACGCTTATTGTTGAGTCAGAGAACAAATCACAAACACACGCTTATTGTTGAGTCAGAGAACAAATCACAAACACACGCTTATTGTTGAGTCAGAGAACAAATCACAAACACACGCTTATTGTTGAGTCAGAGAACAAATCACAAACACACGCTTATTGTTGAGTCAGAGAACAAATCACAAACACACGCTTATTGTTGAGTCAGAGAACAAATCACAAACACACGCTTATTGTTGAGTCAGAGAACAAATCACAAACACACGCTTATTGTTGAGTCAGAGAACAAATCACAAACACACGCTTATTGTTGAGTCAGAGAACAAATCACAAACACACGCTTATTGTTGAGTCAGAGAACAAATCACAAACACACGCTTATTGTTGAGTCAGAGAACAAATCACAAACACACGCTTATTGTTGAGTCAGAGAACAAATCACAAACACACTCATTGCTGAGTCAGAGAACAAATCACAAACACACTCATTGCTGAGTCAGAGAACAAATCACAAACACACTCATTGCTGAGTCAGAGAACAAATCACAAATACACACTCATTGCTGAGTCAGAGAACAAATCACAAATACACACTCATTGCTGAGTCAGAGAACAAATCACAAACACACACTTATTGCTGAGTCAGAGAACAAATCACAAACAATTCATGAGTATTCTAGTTCATTACAATTACAAAAACTTTCCAATGTGATATTTGAGTGTGTGGTGGGAAAAAATGGGGGCGAGGGGAATAAAGGGTTTATAACCATGAGACGATTCGAGCCGTAGTTTTTTGGGTTTTTTTCCAAGCATTCAGGAAACCAACGTGCAGTTAAGCCCCTTGACAATATTAGACTTATTCGTCACACCTAAATTATTTGTTAGGCTGCATGTCGGAATGATGCATTAGAGTTTCATAGCATTGCAAATTAACTCGTTGAACTATCACAATCTGATTTTTCGGCGCTATTTACAATCTGGCCAACTTGATGGGAAAAGCTTTCATATTTGTGTTACATTTAACGGCACGGATACGGGCGCCCTTAATTGCGTCACTAATGACATGCTGATATGTTGCCATGGTAACCCTGCGCAATATTCAACAAAGCAAGAATACAGTTTAGATTGATTATGAAATGGCGTGTTTTTTACACAGTCTTGTCTGATTACTTTTTAAAAAAGTAGCACTTTGTTCTTTACTGGTCCCAGGAAGGCGAATCATTAAAGTGGATACTTTCAAATGGATACATTTATTAAGGGGATACAATAAAGGTAATGCATTAATGTCTACCCGCTAAGTGATCCATACACAATGTTGTTATCCTCAATACATTAGGACATGATTGGGTTAGAATTTGTCCCCAGTACATTATGACAAGGTAAGGGTTAGAGATATGGTTTGCTCTTAATAGATTTTGAAAAATTTAGGGATTGTCCTCAATACATTATAGCAAGGTTATAATTAGGGTTTGTGATAAAATACATAATGACAGGGATGGGTTAGGGTTACGTATAGTTCTTAATACATTGTGACAAGGTTAGGGTTTTTCCTCAAAACATTATGACATGGTGTTGGATACATAATAAAGTATGTCCCCCGTGCATTATCAAAACATTAAGACCGTAGTCCGCCATCTGCCGCATGGGGCTCTTTAGAGGAAGAAATGTGACCGTTTTGTTTTTACTCATTTAAAATGCCCATAAAACAATCTTGCCCTAGTCCGCTGCTCATAAAATGATTTTAACAAGTAATTATTTTTTTTTACTGGACACAAAGAGGTTGCTGACCCTTGCATTATGACACTGATGACACTATTGACACACGGTCGATTCCTGAGAGCCACATTTATTTATCCATGGATAGAGTTGTCAAGGCCATACCGACCCTTGATAGCCGCTTCCACCCAAAGCCTCTCTGACTTCCGGTGCACGATCGTTTGGTTCCGGCTGGCTGGTTTGGCAACTCTTTGGCTCATCTGGTCTTTACAGGTGTCTGTGTGTTGCTACATCGACACATATAATAATCATAATCGTTCGCACGTGGTTTGTAAACGAAATAGTTTACCGCCTTCCTGAAATAGTCTGATATGTTTTATTCACGTCAATGGAGAAGTGCCTTTCCGTCTAACTTTGTGTGCTTATGTAAGATTGTAAAGTACATTTCCGTCTAACTTTGTGTGCTTATGTAAGATTGTAAAGTACATTTCCGTCTAACTTTGTGTGCTTATGTAAGATTGTAAAGTACATTCCCGTCTAACTTTGTGTGCTTATGTAAGATTGTAAAGTACATTTCCGTCTAACTTTGTGTGCTTATGTAAGATTGTAAAGTACATTTCCGTCTAACTTTGTGTGCTTATGTAAGATTGTAAAGTACATTTCCGTCTAACTTTGTGTGCTTATGTAAGATTGTAAAGTACATTCCCGTCTAACTTTGTGTGCTTATGTAAGATTGTAAAGTACATTTCCGTCTAACTTTGTGTGCTTATGTAAGATTGTAAAGTACATTTCCGTCTAACTTTGTGTGCTTATGTAAGATTGTAAAGTACATTTCCGTCTAACTTTGGGTGCTTATGTAAGATTGTAAAGTTCATTTCCGTCTAACTTTGTGCGGTAATAGAGAATTGCAAAGTAAATTTCCGTCACACTTTTTGTGGCAGTGTAAGATTGTCAAGTATATTTCCGTCCAACTTTGTGTGGTAATACAAGATTGTAAAGTACATTTCCATAAACTTTGTGCGATAATGTAAGATTGTAAAAGTAAATTTCCATAAACTTGGTGCGATAATGTAAGATTGTAAAAGTAAATTTCCGTAAACTTTTTGCGGTAATGTAAAATTGTAAGGTACATTTCCGTTCAACTTTGTGCGGTAATTTAAGATTATAATAATGTTTTTTTAAAGTTTTCTTACAAAATGTCCAAGTTATGCTATGGAGTTTTTAAACAGGAATTATGAAATATCTTCAAAATGGTATCCAAAATAACAATCAAATATATTGCGCTTATCGTGTATCAAACGATAATGATAAAATGTGACAGTGAACTTGGATTTGACGAATCTAAACATGTGACCTACGCTAGACTTCACGCGGATGTCATGAACAGAGACGCTGTCGTTCATAAGACTCCTCCAGATTTTAAGAACAATGATGATGATGCTACAAATATCACAGTCCAGTTGTTTGTCATAGATATCATCGACCTGGATCAAGTCAATCAGGTAACAGAATCAGCTTCTAATACACTATATTCGAGCTATTTTCCTACCCCAGAACCGCTGTTGAGCACGGTGAATATCAACTTGAAAGGACATTTTTATGTTTAAACTAGTTTTGATTTTTTGGACAAACTGAAATAGATTTGTTTTTTTCAATTAAACGAAAAGACAATGAAAGTTTATTTTCTGTTAATCTGACCTAATTGTAAATTTAGACAGTGCTAAAATTATTTTCAAATTCAAAGCTACGCGAAGAATGTCTCCTTTAAATGTATTTTTAAAATGTCACCTTCGAATGTCGTCTTTAAATGTCTCCTTTAAACGTCACCTTCAAATTTCTCCTTCAAATGCCACATTCAAATGTTGCCATAAAATATCTTCTTGAAATGTCTTTAAATGTCACCTTTGAATGTCGTATTTAAATGGGGGGAATCACTTTTTCAGGAACTAGCTGCTGCACTCGGATAAAGCCAACAAGACAATGTCTGTTTTATCTGAAATCGAATATTGGGGATTTACTGGAAGGCGAATGAATTAAAATATTAGAGACTCCTGATTGTATAACTCCAGATTTTTAGACTCCAGATTTTTAGACTCCAGATTGTTAAACTGCAGACTGTTAAATTCCTGATTTTTTAAGAATTCCAGATTGTTTAATGCCTGATTGTTTGATTCCTGATTGTATGACTCCAGATTGTTTGACTCCTGATTGTATGACTCCAGATTGTTTGACTCCAGATTGTGTGACTCCAGATTGTTTGACTTCTGAATAATTGACGCAAACTATTGACGAACATTTTGTCCACCAGGTAATGACTCTTGTGGCGTACTTCAGATTAAGTTGGCTTCATAAAGAACTCACCTGGAACCTGTCCGATTACGACGGTCACAGCTTCCTGATCTTGGACACCGAATCTGTTTGGACACCTGAATTTGCGGTTGCCATTGGAGACAAGGATTCCTTCTACATTCAGTTTCCAAAAACTTTAAAACTTGACTCCAGCGGACTTTTGTCATTCAGTCACCACCAGTACATTTCATTTCGGTGTGAAATGGATCTAATTAAATACCCCTTTGACACGCAAGTCTGCCATTTCGGACTGTACCCTGTTGCCGAACCGATTTTAAATTTGGAGTTAAAATACTTTAGCTTTAATATCACTGGAATTTACCACAGCACCAAGGAGTGGTACCTTGTCAACTCCACCCAAAAGATGGTCAGAAGGGGTGAACTGGAAAATTACGTTTCTTTCACGTTCACCGTGAGGCGACGTTTGACCTATTACGTCATCCTCATTATATTTCCGATGGTTTTGACGTCATTGCTTATACCACTCGTGTTTTTCATACCGGCAAGATCAGGAGAGAAGATGTCCTATATCGTCGCCATTTTGACGTCATCGGCCATTTTCATAGGTCTGATAAGGTAAATTATTGTAAATACTTCTTTAAAAAGAATTACATTGTTAATTTGCTTCCCAAGGAAAAAAATGCTTCTCTTTATAAACCGTCGCCTAGAATAGCGTACAAGTGGTGAACCACGATCTAGAATAGCGTACAAGTGGTGAACCACGATCTAGAATAGCGTACAAGTGGTGAACCACGATCTAGAATAGCGTACAAATGGTGAACCACGAATCTGTATGCTTGTCAACTCCCTCCCCCCCCCCCCTTACCATCTGTTCTTGAAGTTTCCTGATATAACAGTGAGTGAACAGTAATATTTAGCATACTTTCTGTGCGTAGCTTGGGTTTGGGCCACCAAAATGAGGGGGGGGGGGGAACAACATGCTTGTCGTTACCCACGAATAAACTCTGCTGATGGCCGAAAGTGCATTCTCTAAATACACAGAAACAAGTGCCGACCAACCCTTCCAAATCACCCGTCTTCCTGCTTCATCCCGGCATGGGCGGATCGCTCAGATGGGCCAATAGCTTTTTGGGACGATTGAACGATCGTTACCCATTACGAAAAAAACAACATATTTTTAAATGTAAAGGTCTGTAATTGTGACTTTGTAAGTCAAGGGTGGAAAGTTCTGTAATTGTGGCTTTGTAAGTCAAGGGTGGAAAACTCTGTAATTTTGGCTTTGTAAGTCAAGAGTGGAAAGTTCTGTAATTGTGGCTTTGTAAGTCAAGAGTGGAAAGTTCTGTAATTGTGGCTTTGTAAGTCAAGAGTGGAAAGTTCTGTAATTGTGGCTTTGTAAGTCAAGGGTGGAAAACTCTGTAATTTTGGCTTTGTAAGTCAAGAGTGGAAAGTTCAGAAATTGGTGCTTTGTAAGTCAAGTTTGTACAGTTCTGTAATTGTGGCTTTGTAAGTCAAGGGTGGAAAGTTCTCAAATTGGGGCTTTGTAAGTCAATGTTGTACATTTCTGCAATTGTGGCTTTCTATGTCAATGGTGGAACGTTCTGTAGTGATGGCTCTGTAATTTGTACCCTAGAAAAATGTATGATCTATTCACAGACCTGGTTATAGTTGTGATACATTCACAGACCTGATTATAGTTGTCATACATTCACAGACCTGGTTATAGTTGTGATACATTCACAGACCTGGTTATAGTTGTGATACATTCACAGACCTGGTTATAGTTGTGATACATTCACAGACCTGATTATAGTTGTGATACATTCACAGACCTGGTTATAGTTGTGATACATTCACAGACCTGGTTATAGTTGTGATACATTCACAGACCTGATTATAGTTGTGATACATTCACAGACCTGGTTATAGTTGTGATACATTCACAGACCTGGTTATAGTTGTGATACATTCACACACCTGGTTATAGTTGTGATACATTCACAGACCTGGTTATAGTTGTGATACATTCACAGACCTGGTTATAGTTGTGATACATTCACAGACCTGGTTATAGTTGTGATACATTCACAGACCTGGTTATAGTTGTGATACATTCACACACCTGGTTATAGTTGTGATACATTCACACACCTGGTTATAGTTGTGATACCTTCACACACCTGGTTATAGTCGTGATACATTCACACACCTGGTTATAGATTTGGGTGGCAGCTGCGAATTTTTAAGTTTAGGTAAAAGCAAAATAAAACAATAAAAAAAAGAGGGAAGGGGAGAATAACTCGCATACAAAATACTTTTTCAATAAATTAAAAGAAACTGCCAAAAATCTTTAGATTAAATTAGCTGCTGGCAACTACCGAACGATAGTCCTTTTTCTTTTTCTTGAAAAAAAAATTACGCTGTAACGTAGTCAGAACGTAGCAACAATAAGAAACTATTCATATGAATTTAATATTAAATAATATTAAAATTTTACGCAGAAAATGTTAAAAGAAGAGAAACAATGTACGCACACAAAGATCCAATTAAATTTCTGAAATTCTCACGCGACCCCTGATAACTTTTTATTTGAAACTGATGGGGCCGTGACTCACAAGTTATGAACCACTGCCCTTAGCAGTAACGAAATCCAACACAGAGCAGCTACCTGCGTTAGCCGTACTATATGCCAAATTTTAATATAGAACTTAATTAGTCACATACTATTTGGGATATATTTTTTTCAATTAAAAATAGCCAATTATTTTATTTTTAATATGGCAGCTTGTACTGCATTGCTGAGTCCATTTTTCTTCTCTTATTATTGTGTTCAATCAAAGAGCAAAAAGTTATTTCTTCTCGTCCTCCCTCCTCAGCGACGTCATGCCACGAAGTTTGACCAGACTACCATACTTGACCGTCTTGTTAGCAGAGGTCATGGTCGAAAGTCTTGGTGCCACTTTGGGATCCTTACTGGTCATCAACAGATTTGATAGAGAAGACAAGGTGAGCATTGTGCAATTAATGTTAGGAGTTTATCTAACGTTTCTGGGGATTCACGTGCGAATTTCAATTATTTCAGCGAACTGAATCATGTGTCAACAACGCTTGTAGTAATTCTGGTGTGAAAAGGCAAGCAATTGGTGGCACGGAAGTCATTACGCGGAGTACAAATGACGTCATCTCCGGTCACGGGACAAACCGGTTCGCTCTTACGTCACGTCAACTGGACATGTTCTTCTCGGTGGTGTTCGGACTTGGTCAAGTTTTATTCCTGGGAATATTATTTGGATTTACAGACTGGGTTTGATCTCATTAACTTTAAGTACAGGTAGTGGATTGTGTCTTGGAGCATTGTTATTATATATATATAGATATATTTATATACATATACATATATATATATATATTTATATATATATATATTATATACATATATATCTATATATATATATACACATCTCTCTCTCTATATATATATATATATCTATATTATATCTATATCTATATCTATATATATATATGACTGTCTCTGTTCTACTTTCGTTGTCTATTCGTTGTTTGGATGGTAACACTTGCTTCAACTGTCACTCATATTTCACCAATCAGACAACTCAGGCGATAGTCATGGCCTTTGCTCTTTTATTGATCTGCTACTTCGCTTTGGCGTCTCTCATCTCGCACTCCACTCTGACTGCCCTCGGTTCGTCTCTATGTCCACTGGATCCTTACGACTGTCCTCTGCTCCTAATCCGTCGGAGTTCTCCCGGTCTGTCCGCTTTCCTGTCCGGCTGAGTTCCCCTGCATTGGTCGTTGCGTCACTAGAGATCCCCCCCCCCCACATGGCTTTAATCTTTTGCTGCATCTCCCCGGTCGTTTAAATGGAACTTAACTGACCACTGCTATTTATTACATAACGTTCCTAATAGCCTCGTGACGATGTTATCTGCTAAGCTACAACCGTTGGTCAGTTTCTGCAAGGTCCGGACTTGATCTAAAATTTGTTCTAACGCAACCCCCCCCCCCCCCCCCCCCTAGTTTTAAATGGACATTAACTAACCACTGTTATTACATAACGTCATGGAGTGACGCTACCACCCTTGGTCAGTCTCCATACTGTGGGATTCCTCCCAACCCTGTACCACCCAGGTCTGAACTCTGCACAATATGTTTATTTATATAAATATATATATTATATAGGCCTATAGATACTTTCAAACTTCACTGTGACTTTAACTTTGACGTTAGGTTGTATTTCCAGTCTTCTGCAGTCCTCACCTTTGTATGCACGGTTCATGCAGTCCTCACCTTTGTATGCACGGTTCATGCAGTCCTCACCTTTGTATGCACGGTTCATGCACTCCTCACCTTTGTATGCACGGTTCATGCAGTCCTCACCTTTGTATGCACGGTTCATGCAGTCCTCACCTTTGTATGCACGGTTCATTTTCAATCATTTTGAAATAACTAGGACTGCAGTAGGGCATTGAATCTCATGTTTTCACTTGGTAGTGCAGTAAGTTTGATGTCTTTCTTACTTTTTAGGGCAGTACCATGATGTCTGTCTCACCAAAGTGGTGCAGTAACATAGATGTCTGTCTCACCAAAGTGGTGCAGTAACATAGATGTCTGTCTCACCAAAGTGGTGCAGTAACATAGATGTCTGTCTCACCAAAGTGGTGCAGTAACATAGATGTCTGTCTCACCAAAGTGGTGCAGTAACATAGATGTCTGTCTCACCAAAGTGGTGCAGTAACATAGATGTCTGTCTCACCAAAGTGGTGCAGTAACATAGATGTCTGTCTCACCAAAGTGGTGCAGTAACATTGATGTCTGTCTCACTTTGTTTTCCAGCAACATTGGTGTCTGTCTCACTATTGTGGTGCAGTAACATTGATTCTGGTTCTGGTAATGTTTCGTTGCTGCATCCATGTACTGGCATCTTTCCAACAGTTGGGGGTATTATGTTGCTTTTCTAACAGCAGTAACATTGAAGTCTCTCTCATTTTGTAGTTCAGTAACATTTATGTTGATGATTATCCCAAATTGAATTCATTCAGAGCCTGGCCGTATTTTAATTATGGAAGATGTGTTCCTGTAATGTATTATTGCATAAGATATGTAGCTCTATGTCAAATATACAACAATAATTCACCACCAGTAAATTTTTATCTTCAATTCAATTTTTCAAGCAATGAAAAGACTATCTAAAACCTTTCATTAATAAAAAGGATTTGTATAAAAACCAGCCGGTCAAGAGAAACGCCGTCAAATAGCTCTCAGAATCTCAGATAAAGTGTAGAATGATGAAAATCTAGATTTTCGTATTCGACAAATGCATTCTAATATTTTAAAAAAGTAAAATATTTCTGGGGAGGGATCTCTGAGTCAAGTCACTCATTTCTCAGATAACTTTATTTAGTCAAGATATCTACACCATATAAAGTTGAAAATAAACATTTACACAAAGTTTATGGTTTTTGTTTGTATAATAATTCAATTAAGTGTATGGAGAAAAAGGTCAGTGTGGATAGAGAGGTCAGTGTGGATAGAGAGGTCAGTGTGGATAGAGAGGTAAGTGTGGATAGAAAGGTCAGTGTGGATAGAGAGGTCAGTGTGGAT